AAAAAAAAAAAAAAAGCAGTTCAAGATCCTTTTGGAGCTCATGAAAATGGGACTTCATGGGGTTATCAATATTTTCCCCAAGCGACTGCAAACATTAATTTGATTAAATTCTTGAGGGTGTTATTAAAATAAGGATCTTAGGGTGATGCTGATTTAATTGTGAGATGGCCTTTTGAAATGTTAATCAATAATGTCAAAATTGTAATTAGAGTGGTTCAGTTTGTTCAGATACCAGATAGTTGAATTGGCCTGACATGTAGAAAAATTATACACTTCTTATAAAAGTAAAAGCATAATTGCATACTTTTTTTGTGATTTAGTATTTGCCTTGATGTAAGGCGGAGCTTGTGGATGAAACACCACCTGTCAGGATCCTCATTGCTTAGTCATTCATACTGTATATTCAGAAATTATGATAGAACACTCTTTTTAAGTATTTCTTTGCAAAACAAACTAATTGTGATTTTAGTTGAAAATAAATCAATATAATGCAAAATAATGAATTTAAATGTACATTTAAATAATATGTCGATTTTTATTTTCTTTAGGTCCCATAAAAACTGCATTGTAGGCAACATTTAGGCTTTGTGTACTCACTATGTAAAGAAAGTCATTGTATTCCCAGCAACGACTTTGCTTTGTCAGTAAAACTTTTTTTTTCATGTATGCCCGTGCACATGTACTTTCAGATTCTTCGTTTAGAGATATGTATCTAAGTAAATGTGACATCTGGCTAAATCAAGATTGATCTGACACCAGGAAAATGTCAGGGGAGCGACCTGAGCCAGGAAAATGTCAGTGAAGGCAGCAGGGTCTACTTTTGTCCTGGTCATGTGCATTTGAATAGAAAACCACATAAATGTGTTTTGTGTGATTCACACAAGCACAGAAGCACACACACACGCAGACACACAATTACATTTTACTGGATGATTAGGTAATACGGAGAATGTGATGAATCCCATGGCTCTTTGTGGATATTTAGGAAGAATAATCAAAATTGGCACATTTGGCAAATTTGGCACACTATTAATGAAGTCATTTCCAGCATTAATATATATATTCTGGTGGAAAACAAACAAAACAGCACCCAGATTCTTAATCCGCCTACTCTGGTGTCTTTTTTCATAGACACATTTGTCAAGCTGTCACTTTCAATCTGTCACTTTTTTCTCTCATCATGCCCTCACATGGTGTTTCGTCTACAAGCCCTGACACACAATGATGACAAGGCATTTTTCCCATGTTGCTAAACTTTGTGAAGTTTTTCGCCAGCAGTCTTTAAAATGTAAAAATAATAAAAAACACCCCCTTATTTTACCACATAGTTTTGTACTGAAGATCATACAGCATTTATGTATGTGATATATATATATATATATATATAGTTTATTAATTTCATTAAAAATACAAAACACATTACATACAACAAAACAATGCAAATCAAATAAAATGAAAGGTAGCNTATATATATATATGTGTGTGTGTGTGTGTGTGTGTGTGTACTTAACCACTTTTTTTGAGTAGGTGATTGACTACAATTCATCATGTTTGTGGAAAAGGAAGAGAGCCAACAAATTAGCTTTAGTTGATCCAAGGGTGTTTCTTTCATTAGTTTGCCAAACCATTATATTTTTATTAAGATTTGTACAAAAAAGTGACTTACAGTGTGTTTACAAATCTGGTAAGGATCCTTCTTTTGAAACATGAAGACGTGTAATGTAAAAGTCAAAATGGCAAACTGAGAGGTGCAACATTTGCAAACATAAACTGCAATATGAGAAGTGTTCTACATGTGCCAGAGGAGTTCTAGGGTGACATGAATAACAGTGATAAATGTTCTGGGAGATGGATTACTTGTTATCCTTTATGCAAGTCTTCCCACCAGCCACCCTGACTCTATTTTTCAAAATCTCATCTTTTATTTTGTGCTACATTTATCTAAGTCTCAAGCAGGGAGCTCATATACACACACTACTATAATTTAATTTCAAATTTCATTTTCTATTCTGCTTTGTGTTTCCTCGATAAATACCTGATAAATGTTAATGACAGATAAGCAGTTCACTCTTGAGATTTTAGAACCCCCAAAAGCATTGTGAACAAATGCTATCCCTTTGATATCAAATACTGCTCAATGTTTTGCAAAAGCTAATTTAAAAACGATAATTGCTACATAACTAGGCAGCATGGTGGAGCAGTGGCCTGAACTGTTGCTTCTCATCGAGGATGTTGTGCGATCGCTTTCCGGCCTGTGTGTTTGCGTATTCTCCCTGTGCACATGTGGGTATTTTTCCAGGTGCCCCGGTTTCCTTCCACTGACCAAAAACACACTTATTTGGTAAACTGGTAACTCTAAATTGTCCCTATATGTGAGTGAGAGTGCGTAAGGTTGTTTGTCTCTAAGTGGACCTGTGATGGACTTGCGACCTGTCCATGGTGGACCCCGCCTCTAACATTGTAACTGCAGAAGATAGGCACCAGATCCCCTGTGACCAAGAAAGGAAAAGTGGGTGAAAATAAATAAATAAATCAGTGGAAGAATGGATGGTACATAAGCAAAGCCATCTAATTGTCATGATTATAATAATAGTAAATTGTACTGTTTGGGAATTTTATGTGTATTATAATGAAAAAAAAAAACATGAAAGGTAATAAAATTATTTATTAGACTGATCATTTTCAGTTTTATGCAACCTGGCACAAAGCGGTCATCTGTGAGAAAAAAAAAAGGTTTTATGATACAAACGTGTAGCTGCATGTGTAATTTCTCTGCTTTCTCTTGTTTCTCTGACCCGAATGTGTCCCCAACTAAATCCCACTGCACACCAAGACGACACAGCTGGCATCCGCACCCAGAGGTCAGGCTTTAACCGCCACGAACAGAATGTGTACTTCCTGCCCATTCTTGTGGTTGACAGTGGGCCCCCCTCCCTCAGCTCAACAGGCACCCTGACCATCCACGTCTGTGGCTGTGACACAGGTGAGAGCTACTCTGGGAGCTGCAACATTAACATCACTGTCACCTCCTGCATCAGCAGCGACAGTACTAAAAGGTCAACATGTCATTGTTTTGCTTAGCAAACAGTTCGTATAAGCATAAATTTTAGAGAAGGCAAAACAACACAAAGCCACAAAAATGCAGGCAGATGGCTGCTTAGAGATTTTTTTCAGGTTGTAAAATATTCATGGTAAAAAACACTGGTTTGATTTTAGATGAGATCATATTTATCCATTAAACTTATAACAATGGAGTCAGACCTGCAAAGAAAATGCTCTTTTTTTTTCTTTTCTCCCCCCACGACACAGAAGGAGCCATCCAATCTTGTAATGCAACAGCCTATGTAATGAGTGCGGCACTCAGTCCTGGGGCTCTTATCGCACTCTTGGTCTGCATGCTCATCCTTATAGGTAAGCAAATAAGTGTCCTCATGTTTGTAACATACACATGCAAGAGAGATACAAAAATGGGTGTTTTATGAATGGCTTGTTAGATACATAAACAATAAATCTGACTATATTTCTGGAATAACTACTTCATTCAGCTAATGCAGAAGGTCTACCAGCAACATGTATTCAATACTAGGATGTTCTAAAGAAAGGGTAAGTCTACAGGATTCACCTAGTGGTGCTAATTTATATCCTCTGTTCAGAAAATCCTGCAACCAGATGTGTGCCTTAATGGGTTGACCCCTTTTAGAAGTTATCCTTAAAATTTTTTTAAAAAAATAACATCAATACAAGATACACTCTTCATATTTATTTTATGGTCCTGTTCGATATTTTGAGTCTGCTTTTACAAGGATATGGCTTTTGTTTAAAGCAAAGCGCAAATGCTGCCTGGATTTATGAATTATATCAAAGCACTTTGATCCAGAGAACACAGGCAACGACAGAATGAATGGGAGTGAAGTGGATATGGGGGGCTGGGGGTGGGCAGGAGAATGCAAACAGGCAAAAAAGCTGTTTCAGCACTTGTATCACTCTGTACAGGAGGCTTTAAATAGACGAGGCTTTCCAGACAAGCTGAGATTTTTTTTTTTATAGACATGCACACACGCACATACCCCATGCATACGCATGCTTACCCTCTCAGATACCAAAGATGGTTGGTATTGAAATGTTTGAAAAATTTATGAGTCGGCTTCTCGCTCTACCCCCCACCGTAAGTTTTTTTTGCATCCCACACTTTGGTGACAGCAAGGAGCGACAATACTGTCAGGGTGTTTTGTTCCCCCTGCTTGTGGCTCTGCACATTTTATTTTGTGCCGCCAGTGAATGATGGATGATGTGACACTATGTTGCTTTAACTGTGACTAACATTGTTCTCTTTTTCTTTTAAGAGCTTTTTTAATGAATGTTGTTAAAAGTCGGTCTCCATTAACAGAACCATCTACTACAGCGAACTTCAAAAGCAGAGCATCATTTATTCAGCATAGCTTTAAAAGCCTCAACAAAAATGTTGTGTACAAATCTGAAACAACCTGCTGGCTATATATATATATATATATATATAGTTTATTAATTTCATTAAAAATACAAAACACATTACATACAACAAAACAATGCAAATCAAATAAAATGAAA